GGTGCTAGGCTCCTCCTCCCTCTGCCCCACAGACCCACTTGGAGACACAATAGGATCTGTCTTCTCCGCCGATGTTTGCTGCAGAACCCCAGGTCCCTGGGAACAGTAGTTATTTTCCCTTCTAGACTCAGAGGGTTGACTCTAACTGCTTGCAAGGAAATGGACCATTTTTCAGGTGCAACGTAAATAAACCTCTTCCCTCATTTAGGTTCCCCCTCTCTAATGTTCTCCTTTTGTATCGGGTCTGAGAATCTTTTCCCTGACCTGTCTCTTGTGGTTCTTTCTTCTTCTGGACAGTACTTCCACATTGCCAAGTTTTTCTCTCACATCATCCAATTTATAAGGGAGGAAACCCAGAAATAGGTAAATGACTTCATATAGTTCATGGCTGCCACCTCCAACCACACATGAGCATTTTAAAAACAGCCTTTAGTGCCGGCCCCATGGCTTAGCAGTTGAGTGCGTGCGCTCTGCTACTGGCGGCCCGGGTTCAACTAGAAGGATGTGCAGCTATGCGGCTTTGGGGAGAAAAAGGAGGAGGATTGGCAATAGATGTTAGCTCAGGGCTGGTCTTACACACACACACACACACTGGCCCAAGTCGAGGGGACAGGAGTTAAGATTATTAAAGATAAAAAGAACTACAAAATGTTATTACTTAAAAAAAACCTAGGAGAGGGGCCAGCCCAGTGACGCAAGTGGTTAAGTGCGCAGGCTTTTCTGCAGCAGCCTGGGGTTCGCCGGTTCAGATCCCGGGCACACACCGACGCACCGCTTGGCAAGCCATGCTGTGGCAGCATCCCATATAAAGTGGAGGAGGATGGGCACAGATGTTAGCCCACGGCCAGTCTTCCTCAGCAAAAAAAAAGAGGATTGGCAGATGTTAGGACAGGGCTGATCTTCCTCACATTTTAAAAAAAAAAAAAGAGGGGCCGGCTCCATGGCTTAGCAGTTAAGTGCGCGCGCTCCGCTGCTGGCAGCCCAGGTTCGGATCCTGGGCGCGCACTGATGCGCCACTTCTCCGGCCATGCTGAGGCCGTGTCCCACATACAGCAACTAGAAGGATGTGCAGCTATGACATACAACTATCTACTGGGGCTTTGGGGGAAAAAAATAAAATTAAAAAAAAATAAGAAATTAAAAAAAAAACCTAGGAGAGTAGAAGTAGTAATGTGAGCCAAATTCTTATTTTTCATAGCAGAGACTTAACAAGATGTCTTAAGGTTGATATATTAAGAAGATGAAAAATGAAGAACTAAAGGCAGCACCACTTGAAAGTTGTTGCTTCCAAGAGGAGAAGTTATGGTAGGATGACAGAAACGTTTTGCTCAGTTATAAGCCCTATTTTACTATTAGAATTTTACCACATGTATGTAATAGTTTGATTGAATGCCAAACTGGTTATGCCCCACAAGTAGAGAAATGAAATACCATTTTTCACCCATCAAAATAACAGCAAAACAAGAGAAATAATGCCCAGTGTTGGTAGAGGTGTCCTACAGAAATTGGCACAATCTTTCCACAGGATAACTGGCCCAGTATTTCCACCTTCAGGAAACAGATATAAAGATTGATGTATAAGGATGTTCACCTCATGAGTTATTTATAAAGTAAGAAGTCTCCACAGGTGCAACAACGTATAATTATATATTATACTTTGGTAATGATATAGGCAAGTGATAAACCGTATGTAACCACTAAAAATGTTTACCAAGTAAATGTTAAATATTTAAAAGTTTTTTAAAAAGTATATAAAATTATATATACAGAATGATCTCAACTTTGTTTAGGAGGAAAAAAAATGAACCAAAATGTTTAAAGAAGGTAGGAATATGGATGATTTTTAAGTATTTTTCTGTATTTTCCAAGTTTCCTACAGAGAAAATACATTTATAATCAGAAGAGAGTTATTTTAAAAACTAGGTTGCTAAACGAGGAGATTGATAATCAAACAGCAGGGAGAATCAGGGGACCCAGCAGGAGGCTCTGACCAGGAACTCTGCAACCATGAAGACATTTCCCTGTGTCTCAAAATGCCCTGGGGGTGAGGGCCTTGCCTAGGCCGGGACTCCTCCCCAAAGTCTTCCCACGGCCCAGGGCTGCGGCTGCTACATTAGTGGTAAGACGGGGCAGTGTCCTGCATGCTCAGTAACAAACACTCCTCCCAGCCAAGACCCTGCCTGGCCCCACCCCGCAACTTAAACAGTTAAACTAATAGCAGCTTTTCTTTATTAGTACTTACTCTGTATATGTTCTCTGCTTAACTACATGTACTACATCATTTTAGTCTTACAATCATCCTGAAGGTGAATATTATTCTCATTTTTTAGAAGAAGAAATACAAGTATAGAGGTCAAGGCATGCTCAAGTCATTTTGCTCAAGGGCACAGTCAGTGGCAGAGTTGAATTACAATTCAAACCCAAGGTGGCCTGATCCCAAAGTGTGAACCCAGCTCTTCACACCCTCCAAGAATCAGCACCACCGAGGAGCAGTCACTGAGATTTGTCGGAAACTCACCACAGCAACTTCAGTCTGCCATCTCAAAATCTTTAAAGGCTAGATACAAAAACTGTCTTAGATGATGGAATAAGAAACCTCAATTTATGGGCTGGCCGGTGGCTTAGCGGTTAAGTGCGTGAGCTCCGCTGCTGGCGGCCCGGGTTTGGATCCCGGGGGTGCACCCTCGCACTGCTTCTCCGGCCATGCTGAGACAGCATCCCACATACAGCAACTAGAAGGATGTGCAGCTATGACATACAACTATCTACTGGGGCTTTGGGGCAGAAAAATAAATAAATTATATATATATAAAAAAACCTCAATTTATGGCTTTTTTTTTAGTAGGGAGCCTAACTTTTATTTATTTATTTATTTAACTTATTTATTTTATCCCCCCTCCCACCCCGCCAAAGCCCCAGTAGATAGTTGTACGTCATAGCTGCACATCCTTCTAGCTGCTGTATGTGGGATGCGGCCTCAGCATGGCCAGAGAAGCGGTGCATCGGTGCGTGCCCGGGATCCAAACCCAGGCCGCCAGTAGCGGAGCGCACACACTTAACCACTAAGCCACAGGGCCGGCCCTATGGCATTTTTTAAAATTACGAACCGAGAATATTAATTAATTGTACCAGAGGAATACAAAGTAAAGTACCAGTCTTCCTGTTCAGAAACTATTTTAAAAGGAGCATTCACAAAGACAAACTCAATTGTTTAAACTCAGGAAGGAAAAAACTCAGAACTTGATCAGTCCTCTGAGTTTGAGATGCTGAAACAAGGGTCCTCCAGAACAGTAACTGTGCTGTGATCTGTTTAACTGTTTACCAACAGCTCTAGCGAGAACAGAACCAAAGAGATACTCTAGGAGCTTACCTGAGCGCCAAACATAATAAGCCATCACCACCAATGCTGTTTTCCATTTCAGGCTTTTCACTTGTATTAAAGTATGTTTAGGGGGCTGACCCGGTGGCATAGTGGTTAAGTTTGGGTGCTCTGCTTCAGCAGCCTGGGGTTCTCGGGTTCAGATCCCAGGCACAGACCTACGCACCACTCAAGCCATGCTGTGGCGGTGTCCCACGTACAAAATAGAGGAACATGGGCACAGATGTTACCTCAGGGCCAATATTCCTTAAGCAAAAAGAGGAAGATTGGCAACAGATATTAGCTCAGGGCCAATCTTCCTCACCAAAAAAAAAACCACAACATACATACATACATATATATACACACACACACACACACATATATATATATGATGTTTGTAGTTGCAAAATGGATCCCAATAGTATCTTCATATCCTTCTGCCAATGACCATTTAAGCCAAGTAGTAATATATGATTTAATGCTTCCATTACTATGTCAAAGCTAACAAAAAGACCTAAAAAATAAAATGATTAGATTGGTGCAAGAACACTTAGATTAAGCTGGAAATTTCTCAAGCAACACTATAAAAACAACATGTGAAGAAAATAAAGCATTCAAGTCAGGTGCCTGAATTTAAAAAAGAGAGAAGTAACAATCTGTGCAGAATGAGATTCCAGTTTAACTGAACTAAATGGACAACTAACAATTCTAGCATAAATAAACTGTGCCTGTCAAACTTTAGATAGCCTGGTTCTTTATTCCGTAAAAGCAAATGCCACAGAACCCCCTAGGCCCAGCTGAGGGAGGGAGCCAGTGCAGTCTGGCTCCCCAGGCAGGCTTTGCTGGCATATACCCACTCCTGTGGCTCCTCCTAGACTACTCAGATTCTAAGATGCCACAGTTTGAAAAGTTCCAAGTAACCTCTGATCTACAAAGAAGAAAGACACTGAAAAAGAGCAAACATCCACACAGAAAGTATTCCCAACAGCCTCGTGAAGCCAGGCAGAGCATTTCTCTTCAATCCACAGAGGGAGCCATCTACCCAAAGTTCATGCTGCCGCCTAGGAGCTAGTCTAGAAAGTTCTAATAGATAAGTGGCAAACTCGTATTAATGTTCCTTTTTTTCCTTGTAAAAAAGACTAATCTGAGTTTGAATTATTTATAAGCAAGGGTTTTATGGAGTCCAGGAGGAGAAAAAGGAAAAATTTAAAGAAATTCATTATAAAAGTATCAGAGCACTAAAAACCTGTCCTTAAGATGTTCTTAGATCCATATCTTAGGGCTATTTTTTATTGCTGATTACAGATTTAAAACTATGAAATGTGCATTTCTTGGCAAATTACACAAGTGATTTTCTGCTTATTCACATTTCCAATAAAAGCTTAAGAAACAGACGAAAATACAAAGGACAGGAAAAACACGAAGGGCAACAGCCTCAAAAACAAAAGGATTTGGTAAAAGAAAAATAAGTCTCCACAGTCAGTGTCCATCAGAATTTTAAAATCATCCAAACAGTGCAAATGCTCCACTCAAATCAATGTGACATCCTGCACTATGAATAGTTGTTCCTTGAAGCTGCCAACTGGAAAAACCACCCACTTATATTTATGATCACACAAACCACCTAATTTGCTCAAGGTTCAGCTCAAAGCAACATTTAATATTCTTTACAAGATGGAATTGTGACAAGTTCAAAAGGAAAACTTGCTTTGTTTTAATGCGGCTGTGCTCAGAAGGCTGCGTGATCTCCTCAGAAACCATGCTGGGCTCAGCCAAGAAACACAGCTCAAAGCAGTGTCACACTGGCCTCCTGAAGGTAGCCTTGGAGATACTGGAGTGCTTCTGCATTGAGGCTGGTGCTCACCATGGATGGAACCTACGAGAGATGGGAAACAGGATAAATAATGGCTGTTCGAGATCCTAACACGCCAACACAAACCCCATCTTCTACGAGAGCTGCCACAGGGCAGTCTGTCTCCAGTAACTGTTGAAGGGATTCTCAAGTAACTCAAATGCTTCTATTCCTTCAAAAACAGATAGGTCTAAAAGCGGATCCATAAGGAATCACTGTTGTTCAGTGTGATAGTGGCATTGTGGTTATGTTAAAAAAAAAAAAAAAAAGTCCTTATTGCTTAGTGATGCATAATGAAGTACATATAGGTGAAATGACATGATGCCTGAGGCTTGCTTTAAAATTCTCAAGAAAAAAAACGAGAAACAAATGAAACAAGAGTGGCAGAATATTGGTAATTATTGAAGGTCAGCACATGAGGATTCATTATGCTGTTTCTATGCATGTTGGAAATTTTCCATAATAAAACAATGAAAAATATAAATTTTATCATATAATCTATAAGACTCTGTAAAAGGTACTAACACAACTATACAGCCATTATTAGGTTTACTCTATGATCCATTATTTAATTTCTGAGTATGCTGCAGTTAGACTCTAAATGCCTGCATTTTAATAATAGGAGGATTATTTCAATCTGGGAAATAAATACATTTCTATTCAAAGGGTTTTGTCTCCTGCTTTCTCTTCACTCCAGAAATCATTCACTTAAAATACATTTGTAGCACATCATACAAAAAAAGAAAAGGACCCATCATTCTAATTAAAGAAAAATAAGCCTTGACTCTAACTCAACGGGATGTTGATTATGCTGACCAATGAAAACAGGCACCAGGGGCCGGGCCAGTGGCGCAGCGGTTAAGTGCGGTTAAGTGCGTGCGCTCTGCCTCGGCCGCCCAGGGTTTGCAGGTTCGGATCCGAGGCTGCACCGATGCACCACTTGTCAAGCCATGCTGTGGTGGCGTCCCATATAAAGTGGAGGAAGATGGGCACAGATGTTAGCCCAGGGCCAATCTTCCTCTGCAAAAAGAGGAGGATTGGCATCGGATGTTAGCTCAGGGCTGATCTTCCTCACAAAAAAAAAAAAAAAAGAAGAAAGAAAAGAAAACAGGCACCAGAACAACTACTACCCTCTTGACTTCCCATGAAGACCTCCATTAATCACAGAGTTCTGTGACAACAGACACTTACCCTTCCTGGACAGGCAGTAGACAATTTGTGAAGTGACTGTGCCAGGTGAATTTTGGGGTTGTTCACCATTTGACCTACAGGATCATGCTCTTTTTTCCCAGCAAATGCCAACTGAGAGAAGGCAGTCTGGTATCCTGGTGTATCTTCTATGTCAATAAAATGTTCTTCATCAGGAATGGTATCATCTTCAGGTAACTCAAAAAGGCCAATCAGAGACTGTAATAAGGGAGTCCTGGGTTGGAAGAAAGGAACAAGATAAAAGATTAAGTAAATACTCTGAAAATTTAAACAATCAGCAGAAATTCCTGAGAGAAACAAAATTATAGACTCAGACTCAAGAGTAGTAAGGGACCTCTGAAATTAAGATAGACATCAACGCTTACGCTTATCCAGAAATCATTCTTCAATTATTCTGGCCACAATACCCCAACTGCTCTTTCAGAAACTACTCCACTCCCAGAGCTCTCAAGCTGGCGGTGTGACCCAGGCCTGACTAATGAGAAGGCCACGTGACTGAGGCCAAACCAAGGATATTCAATGCTAAAAGTTAGAAGAAATAAGCCTCAAGTTGTCTGATCACTTTGTGGAAGAGGCTGTCTAAGTGAAGCCATAGTAAGGAAAGGAGACAAGAAGTCGAGAAAAGCAAGGTCCACCAGACACTGAGCACAAGCATGTAAGATCTTCTCTTAAGCCTATTCAGTTTCTCCTCTTAAAGACTTAAGCCAGGTTAGTTGGGCATCTGTCATAAAACAGTCCTAGGGATCACCAGGGACTTTCACCAGACTCTCAAAGGGGTCCATAAATTCGCCACTAAAAAAAGTTAAGAATCAGGAAACAAGATCTTTCTAGGTCCAGAAGGATCCACAAATCATGTCTTGAATCTGATGGTTGCTAATGGAGAAGCCAAAATCAGAACCCAATTCTCTTGGCCCTCAAGAGAATAAGCTTGGTTAATTTTGCAGTCCTAAGGGAAAGAAACTGTAATTTCCAAAAACTTCAGAATGGAGTACTTACCATAGCTTGGTATATTCAGTGTCCATCATTGGGGGACATTCTGTTAATAATTTGGTTATGCCAACCGCACAAATCTTTTTCTCTACATATCCGGATACTTTCTGAATTTCAGGAATAATGATTTTTTCCAAAACCATTCCAAACATTCTATTAATCAAAGCAAAATAAATTCACTCAATATTAAACTATCATTATAATTAAACAGTGAAATGCTTAGATGTTATTTATTTTCAGTGACTCCTTATGAATATAATAAAATACAAAATAACAAGGCTGCTCTTTTTGGTCATCTGAATGGAAGAGACCTCCAGATGACAAAACACCACCACCAAAGCTCTACCCTGTGGCCAATGCCATCTTCTGTGAACACTGCTTAAGCCTATACTCAAAGAGAATCTTCACAGCCATTTTTTGGTCTTGTATGTTTTTTTAAAAGATTACTCAAGAAATCTTTGAAAAATGAGAAATTAGAAAACAGAGATAGGGGCCAGCCCCGTGGCGTAGCGGTTAAGTGCGCGCTCCGCTGCTGGCAGCCCGGGTTCGGATCCCGGGCACACACTGATGCACTGCTTGTCAGGCCATGCTGTGGTGGCGTCCCACATAAAGTGGAGGAAGATGGGCACGGATATTAGCCCAGGGCCAGTCTTTCTCAGCAAAAAGAGGAGGATTGGCATGTATGTTAGCTCAGGGCTGATCTTCCTCACCAAAAAAAAAAAAAAAAAAAAAAAACCAGAGATAAGCAAGAGCAAGAAAAAAAAGAATCACCACCATCCCACAATCCAGCTATAACTAGTTTTAACATTTTTGGATTATAAATTTCCCAACTTTCTACACTTACATACTTACATGTATATAAATGTTAATGGCTATATTAAAAAAATGATTTGGCCAATCATTCTATGTTGTTGCAAACATCCTAGAAGTAAAGTTTTTCATGATTCTAAATGTTGCAAAATTCTCAGTTTATACTTTGATTAATAAATTCTTTGAAGTGAAAATAGTGGGTATCAAAGAGTGTGGACATTGTAACGCTCTGGATAAAGACGGCATATTTTTTGCTCTACGGAAAGATGCCAGTTTAGGCACCCACTAGCCATGTGTGACACTGCTGATTTCCACAAAATCCTCTATTGCTGGAAAGCATATTTTCTGGTACTATTTTTCAGGTTAATTCATTTTTTTACATTTTAGTCAATCTAGAATTTTTTTGATACAACACAGATACAGGGATTTAACTTGAGTTTTTTCTCTAAAGAGTTGTCCTCTCTCATTCCTTTATATCCTTCCTTTCCCTTCTAAATGGGGAATGCCACCCAACTACATTCGTTGTATATAAACTAAGTCAAAAGCAAAGTTTTATTGATCCAAACTTTTCTCATTTGAAAAATCATGCTGTTGGCCTTAACAAAGGCAGGCTCCTGGAGACAACACTGATCATCTAACATAACACAGAACACTGGCTGTGGAGAATGCCCAAGCGGGGAGTACCTTTGGGAATTAGGAAAATGTCTACAGGGATTGTCTTCTTTACAGCCATCACCTCAAGAATATTTTGAAAACCACAACACTCCAAGAATATTTTGAAAACCACAAAAATAGTATCACTGTACCAAGAATTATGAAATCATCTAAAAATCAGAGATATGGTTTGCACAAAAAGAAGTCAATTTTTTTGCTTTAAAACAATAATAAAAAAAACTTACTTTGGTTGTATACCATCAAATATTTCTTGAAGTGCTAGCGCCCCATATTTTATGCAATACAAATTAATAAAGACTAAGAAACCTGTGGAAAGGAGATGCAGAATATCAATACAGAGGACTCACTGCATAAACAGGCGATTTAGTGGAAGTCAGCCAAGTGAAACAGTCATCATCATTAAAACCCGAGGACTAACTTTGGCATCAATACTTGCCTTTTAATACAATTTACCATATAGAATCTCTGCCTTTATAATATAGACATAAAAAGTCTTTACCTGCAAGTCTCTTTCCGATTTATATTTCCTTATAATATTACTTCTATTAAAAAATATTTGAGAGGGGCCGCCCCGTGGCATAGCGGGTTAAGCACACATGTTCCACTGTGGCGGCCCAGAGTTCACAGGTTCGGATCCCGGGCGCGCAGCGACGCACCTCTTGTCAAGCCATGCTGTGGCGGCATCCGGTATAAAGTAGAGGAAGATGGGCACGGATATTAGCCCAGGGCCAATCTTCCTCAGCAGAAAAAAAAAAAAAAAGGAGGATTGACAACAGATGTTAGCTCAGGGCTAATCTTCCTCACCACAAAAAAAAAAAAAAGGTTTTGGTATCTAAACTTACAAACTAACCTTTGAAACACAATATACTTGAAAATGATTTAGTGTTTGGAGAATACAAACATCTTAAAATATTTTACATATAAAGTTTATAACTGATAAAAGGTTTATTATGTAACCATAAAGTCTAAGGGTTAAAGCTACTTTCCTTATTTCTGTAGGAATATCCAAATGATTTTACTTACTCTTGATAAATTTTGTTGTTTTGGAATTCTGAAGTCTTTGGAATAGTAGAATGAAGATTTGCTTCCTGTATTGGTCAACTGACGCACTGAAGAAATGAATAAAAGCAACAACATAAATTCAGCATTTTTCTGAGTACCTAACAGAATCTTTGATTAAATGTACAACAAGGTTATATTCATACTCACGGAGGCATGTGCTCTATTATACTGTTTAGAAGATAAAAACCTTGGTGGTCATTGGCTTTGGACGCAATCAGCTTCTGGAAGACACCTAATAACCCAGGCTACAACAAATTACATCAAATAATAATCAGTAAAAGAGGCAAGGATTAATAATTCCAGAAGTTAAACAGGTGATATATGTTGGGAAAAGTACATGCTGTAATAATCTAATTAGCATTTTTTCTTTAGTTCTTACTTCTAAAGTGTAGAGGAAAAAAACCCCATCACAATAAGCCCTTAAAGTTACATTCTTAAAATTACCTATCTGGCTCTTATTTATTTTCCACCATGGAGATAAAGAACTAAAGGACACTTAATTCTAATAAAATATACATTAACGGGCCGGCCCGGCGGCTTAGCGGTTAAGTGCGCGCACTCCGCTGCCGGCGGCCCCAGTTCGGATCCTGGGCGCGCACCCTCGCACCGCTTGTCTGGCCATGCTGAGGCCGCGTCCCACATACAGCAACTAGAAGGATGTGCAGCTATGACATACAACTATCCACTGGGGCTTTGGGGGAAAAAAATAAAGAAAGAAAAAAAAAAACAGTGATATATTTAAAAAATATATATATACATTAACGTTTTCTACTAATTACTACCCATTTTATTAAATTTACTTTAAATAAAGAATTTTTAAAAATCTACCATCCCTAGTTTCTCTTAGTACCCTTGAAAATTAGCTACATCAAAATAAATCTGACTCACAATTTTGTCAGCTGCAGCACTTGCTATTGTATTTGAACCACGTTCTAAGAATGCTTGGAGAAGCCTCACTAGAGCAGGGATATTTCCTGTTCTTTCCCAAAGCACTGGCTGAAGGAGATGAGGAAATAAGGCCATATAGGAAGACGGGATATCATTTTTGTGTGTTTCCAGAAGCAAAGACATTACTTGAAAGACATATGGAATAAATTCTGTTGATAAAAGTAAAAACAGAGCTGTTAGCTTCAGAGTTAATGGTTCTGACACAAAAGGCACATATCTCTTAAGCAGGCTGCATTTTATAACAACTTTAATAATTTCATTCAATTAGAAAGAAAATAACTTCCTTTAACTTACCCTGTACATCATTCTGTAAAATTTCAGTAAACACCAGAAACAAAGCCTCCTCAAAATTCACAACAGCAGCTGGGTTAGCTTTGCAAGTTATTCTTATGGATAAACATATTGCTTCAAACATGTAATGATTAAAGTGAGGTTTGCTTGGGTTCTGAAATTTAAAAAAAAAAAAGCCTATTACCTTAATAAGCCAAGTGACTACATTAAATATTATCTAAAATAAAAAACACACCTAACCTTTCTAAAACATTAAAAGAGATGCCATCTTTCTTTTAAATCAGTATTAAGAAAAAACACCATTTACACTAAAAAGCCTGCATATGTGTTACAATTTTATATTGACTTTAAAATTCAGAAAATAAAATAAGATTCGCTAATGCCTGTTTGTTTGGACTTTGCAGTGGTGGAAGAAATGAGCAGGGACACATAAGTCCTGGCTCTGCCATCGCCCTGTGTGGGACCTTAGGCAAACCTTAAACTCCGTGGGCCTCAATGCCTGTATCTACAGAGTGACAATTCTTCATATCAGTGGTTTTCAATTTCCTTTTTAAGCAACAGAATTGTGTTTTCCTTCATACAAAATCCTTCTTGAAAGGTATCATAGAAAACTGATGGACTCACAAGATGGGTGTCTATGTACAAGAGGGGTATGGAGGGACCCTGCTTCTCCCCCTCGATTCCCCACGGGCCAAAGTAGTCCAAGACCCTTATCCAGAACTCAGTGGAAGAAGATCACTTCTGCAAAGTCCCTCTAATACCTCCTACCAATTTATCTCCTTTTCATCGAGTAACTAGGAATAAACATCTAAAAAGGAATTTTGTCAGCCTTAAACTGATTTTTTATTTTCTAAAACTTAGTTTTTAAATATGAATCAAAATATCTGTAAAATTACTGATTAAAGAAGGAGTGAACTTTATTTTTGGGAAATAAGAGTAAGGAAGAACAGTTAATCATCATTTTATACAAGTCTGATTGCCCTCTTTTGTGTCAATTTGGTGCAAAGCCTGCTTTCCTCCATCTAAGATCATTTCAGAGCATCTGTAGTTTCTCAGTTTTCTTCAATGAACATGTTACTTTTTTCATGAGAATAAAAATGAGCCTACATGTAAAGGTGAGTGTTGCTATGTCTCCAATCTAATGCCATCCCCACACTTGCAGAGACTATGTTAACTGTTGGGCAGGAAGAATCCACAGACCTTTCCCTGAGGTGGACCTATTGCCAGGGAGTTCTGAGGCTCAGACACTTGGAGCGTAAGTTAAAAAACAACTGCACATTAAAGACTGGCTCTGTTACCTTACTAACAGCTAACAGCTTCTGTGTAAGCTGAGTGATGAGAGTAGGGATGTAGGGGATTATGGCTTCTTGTAGGAGGGAAAAACTTCTCATGATAGCTGTAAAATACAAAAACAGCGAAAACAAACAGTTTAGTTAAATTTCAGAACAAAATAGTGATTAGGGGGAGAAAAAGCCCACTGATTCATCAACTAACATTTTAAGACCCTTAAGCAACCCCCAGTTAGCTTTCTACATTCAGAAATAATTTAAATTTCCCTTCCTTTTAAAATTAGGCCAAGGATTGGCAACAAAATTTAGCTGGGAAATACTGAGTATTTCCAGAAGGCCTAAGGCTTACAGAATTAAGAAAGGGATAATAACAACAATGAGGAGACTAAGGGGCAGGCGGCGAGGAGGAGGGGTAGAGGGCTGGCACGGGGGAGCAGCAAGTGGGGGGGAGCCGCGTCAGGTCTCTAATTCCACCTAGGAATCAGCGGCAGGGAAGGTGCAGTCCTAGCCTATGGAAACATGGCACAGCCACTGGAAACTGAAAGAGAATACCACGTACCCATCTCCCCCCAAAAAGAGAGATTAGGGACCTAAGAAAAATCCAAAAATACATATAAAGTTATGGAGGATCCGTATTTCAAAACTACTGCTCATTAACAGATGCCTAAAAACACTTGGCATGGGAGATAAATACACTATTAAGCTAAAAATGTTTGATGGCTGTTTTTGCACAAGCAGAATGGATGTTTACTAAGGAGAGCACCTACCACATGCCGGGCACAGAGGAGAGTTACCCTCTCTTGCCTCCTAAACTTCACAATGATGTTTCCTCTACCTGAGCCAAAGACTCTCCCTCCAACAAGTTAATCGCTACCTATCCCTCACCTTAGCCTGGACATCACTTCCTAGAGAAAGCCTTCCCCTGAGCTGGGTGAAGAGGGTTGGAGGATGGACTAGCGCCCTTCCTCTGGGATGGCACAGAATCCCTTCATTCACTCGTACAACAGTATTTACTGAGAAGGTGTTACATACGGGGCGCTCCTGCATACCCTAGGAACATAGCAATGAGGACCACAGACCAGTTAGCTGTCTCACAAAAATGGACATTAAATAACAGTAATGACACATCACTGTGGAGAGAGGTCTAATGCTGAAAACACACACAAATACACACATATAAACACATGCACACGCACACACACATCCCCCAGGGGTCCTGACCCAGGCCAGAGGCATCAGGGATAGTTTCTTTGAAAAGCATTTCCTATGAGTCAGACACTGTGCTAGGCTCTTGGAATGCAACAGTTATGAATATGACTAAGATTATCCCTGAAGTCAGAGCTGTCACCAAGACACTGTCCTAATGCAGCCTGGCAGATGGCTAGAGGTGCCTGTGTCCTTGGCAGCATGTCTACGAAGGCAAGATCTGTGTGGTCTATCAAGTGCACCCAGGTTTCACAACAAGACGAAGCATCACATGCCATCAATAAATGTTGTCTGAGCTGATCTGATCTTTGCCCTCAAGAAATTCAATCTAGAAAAGGAGAAAGGAGTTTGCTACTTTTTTTTTAATAAGAGGAGTTCTACATCAAGTTAGGGTAAAATTTTTTTCTGTAAACACTGTTAATACAAAACAATATCTTTCATTTTAAAACACCCAAATCTAATTCTTGGCAAACAGTATCTGGTTCACAGACTACGTAATCTGAAGTAGAACTCAGAGTGCTCACCCCTGTAAACTGAGATTAGATACTTATGGTCTGTACACCAGGGAAACGGCCTACCTTTCATAATATATTCATTTTCTGAAGAGCCAGGAAGTGTGAGAGCTTTGAAAAGGTTTGTTAGCAGAATCTCAACAAACGGTGCGATTTCTGCAGCTGTAAAGCTATAGATGAAAAAACAGCTTTCAGTCACTACCAACTCTTGAGCTTGTCACTTTGGAATATCCTTGTCAACTACTAAATCACACTTCTTGGCATAAAACCGAGCCAAGTCCCACCACTGACAATCAGTAGACAGCTTAGGAAGATAGTTTTTTATATGTGTTCATGTTAAGTTCCTAAAAAGGCACATCTGGGACCAAACACAATTAAACAAACCAACAACCAGGCAAACCCAACACCATCTAAGGTTGGGAAGGCCATCCCTGCTTCCTAGCTATCGCCATCGAGAACAGAACTCAAGCTCTCAGGGGTCTCAGTCATCTACTGTTCCCAGAAGTGGAGCAGCTTCAGAACTGTTTTTCTGCATCAGTTCTGGGCCTGAAGACAGGTACTGGCTTGACTCATTTCAAAGGATGTCCTTTTAACCGTTAACTGGCCACTGAGAGTGTCTGTGCTTCAAGTTCTTGATGAAGAAAGAACCTAGAACTGTTTTCCATCTCTTACCCAAAGCTCAGTTTCAAGAATAACTGTTGAAGAATGGACTGAAAGACACACAGACTGTCCACCCCTCCACATCTTTCCTTGGATCAGGCCAGAAGAGCGACACTCTTGGAATCTAGAGAATTACTTTCACTCAGCTGTGTCATATCTCAGCACTGAGTAAGATGACAAAAACAGCCAGGTGAAGATAACTGTTGCATGATGTTGCTAAGAACACTGCTATTACAAAGTATTTCCTTAATCAGGGCCCACTTCTGAGATACCTTCTGAGTAACTGTTTTAATTTTAATCTCACGGACATTGTGAAAATTTTAACTCACCAAGTTTCCCTCTTTGCCTTGGTTGTTAGGAGACTCCACACATAAAATTCAAGAGTTTCTTTAACTACTGTACAGGATCCTCTGACACATTTCTATTTATTAATCTCACCTCAGTTATTTGCCTTTGTTTCAATTTCCTCTATTTAACTTTATTGTCCTAATGTATCTATTTTGGCCTGCTGCCTCAAATTCTTTTGGAATGAGACATAGTATAAATTAGTAAAAAGTACACATTTATTTTTCTAACTACTAATGAAATTATAAATATATTCAGAGATATCTCTCACCAGTATAGAACAGTCCCTACTCCAAGCTGAAAAAATATAAATTGCTTAGAATCCAATACTTACAGAGTGGTGTTGTTAGGCCCCCTCATAGTAAACAGCCTCTCAAGAGCATGTGCTGCGTAAGTATGAACAACTATACTTTCAGCTTGAAGATGATTAATCAAGAGAGGAATAGAGACTAAAAGATGCTCTTTTGGTACCTGAAAAATACAATAATATATATGTTCTAACTCAATGATGCTATCTTTGAGTAAAAGAAAACTGAAAGAGAAGAACTTGCTGATTCTAAAAAGTATGTTTTTTTCAGCTGTTACAAAGGGAGCTGACATGGTTCAGAAATCAAAACTTCTACCTCCACACAATGGTTCAATTCACATTCACTTTTCTAATTCTCTTTCTCTGAGCATAAAACTATGATTAGGGTAAAATCTTACAGATAAAGGAACACACCATAAAATAACAACATCATAGAGAAGCAGACTAAGATTTCATTAATCTTAAGAACTATATTTTTCACTAGCATATATTTCTTGGAAAAGTCATTCAAACTCTTTGTGCCTCACTTTCTCTTCTAAAAAAAGGGGGGGGGGCAAAAGAATACTAATCTTCATTAAAAACCTCTAAAAATTTAGAATACCCATTAGTCTTTAAAATAGAACAGCTTCACAAGGTTGCGTGTAACCTTGGTAAACACCTGCCAAAGACACATAAAAGTTGTAAATCAAGAAATTAAAGAATCAGCCACAGGAAATAAACCAAGAAATTAAAGAATCAGCCACAGGAAATAAACTGTGGCATATTCTTACGATGGAATACCACACAGCTATTAAAAAATGAACCATAACACATCTACTAAAGTGATAACTCTCAAAAACAATGTTAAGCACAAAAAAAATGTGTAGACCAATACTTATAGACTGATATTTATATAAATAAAAATTTTAAACTTATAAAATAGTATGGAATTTTTATGGAAACAGATATATAGTAAAACCATAAATAAACACTTATATGGGTATAAAGCAGACTACATTCATTGCAGTAATTACCTCTGGGGAGAAGGAGAATAGAGAGAGAGTGCCCAGGGTGCCTCCATTGTATATGTACGTTTAAGTAATTATGGCCTGGAGTTAAGATTTGTGGTGGTTATATGAATATCATTCTATTATTCTCTGTTCTTACTTATATGTTTAAAATAATTTGCAAGATGGCAGCACTATAATATGGTAGAGTGTCAGAGGAATAAGATGACTTTGCATGTTTTGTTTTCTGTCTCACTAAAACTGAAGTGACAAAGTGTTAAGAATCAAAAGGATCGGGCCGGCCCCGTGGCTTAGCGGTTAAGTGCGCGCGCTCTGCTGCTGGCGGCCCGGGTTCGCATCCCGGGCGCGCACCGACGCACTGCTTCTCTGGCCATGCTGAGGCCACGTCCCACGTACAGCAACTAGAAAGATGTGCAGCTATGACATACAACTATCTACTGGGGTTTTGGGGGGAAAAAATAAATAAATAAAATCTTAAAAAAAAAAAAGAATCAAAAGGATCATATAACTCAATAGGAAAAAAACAAACAATCCAATTAAAAAATGGGCAGAGAATCTGAATGGACATTTTTCCATAGAAGACATACAGATGGCCAACAGGTACATGAAAAGGTACCTGTCAGGGTACTAATCTCAGGGTAAATAATGTCATCACTAATAATCAGGGAAATGCAAATCAAAACCAAAATGAGGTATCACCTCATACCTGTTAGAATGGCTATCATTAAAAAGATAAGAAATTTAAGTGTTGGCGAGGATATGGAGAAAAGGGAACCCTTGTGCACTGTTGGTGGAAATGTAAATTAGTGCGGCCACTATGGAAAACAGTATGGAGGTTCTCAAAAAATTAAAAATAGAACTACCACATAATTGAGCAATTCTACTTCTGGGTATTTATCCAAAGGAAACAAAAACACTAACTCAAAAAGATATCTGCAGCCCCAAGTTCACAGCAACATTGTTAACAATGGCCAAGACATGGAAGCAACCTAAGTGTTTACCGATGGATGAATGGATAAAGAAAATGTGCTATGTGTATACACAGACACAGTGGAATATTATTCAGCCATAAAAAAAGGAAATCTTGCCATTTGTGACAAGATGGATGGACCCTGAGGGCATCATGCTAAGTGAAATAAGTCAGACAGAGAAAAGACAAATACCAAACGTTCTCTTATATGTTGAATCTAAAACAAAACAAAAAACAAAAAACTGAGCTCAATGATACAGAGAACAGATTGGTGGTTTCCAGAAGTGTGAGGTGGGGAGTGGGCAAAATGGTTGAAGATGGTCAAAAGGTACATACTTCCACTTATAAAATAAGTAAGTCATGGAGATGTAATGTACCGTACGGTGACTATAGTTAATAATATTATGTTACCTATTAAAGTTGCTAATAGAGTAGGTCTTAAAGTTCTCATCACAAGACAATTTTTGTAACTATGTATGGTGCTGGGTGTTAACTAGACTTACTATGTTGATCATTTCACAATATATACAAATATTGAATCATTATGTTGTATACCTGAAACTAATGTTGTATGTCAATTACATCTCAATTAAAAACAAAAAGAGAGAGATGCAGGAACCGGGTCTCCCCTCTCTGGGAGCGTCTGCTTACTGACAAGCATGAGGTGGTGGAATTTCTCTTTATTCTCTTTGCCGAGACCTAATAATTGAATGTCTGTAAGTCAAATGAGGTGAGATTACAACCCAGGCATTAAGATTGTACTTGGCAAATAGTAAATACTTAGGTAAATGTTAGCTACACTAATACTTCCTCCATCACAGGTAACTGTCAAAAGGGCATTCTGCCCTGAAGTAGGTAGAGCTGACTGAAGCGATCTGTCCTCCCTGTGGGTCAACTGTTAATAAATTTCTCTGTTGAGATCTTCAAACAGACAATAACAGATAACTTAATGGTGGAGTGGATGGTTTAAAATTGCCCACTGTCTTTCCAACATAAGAAACAGAGTGCTCCTGCATGAAGAGCAGCCCCAGGTATGGTCTGTTTTCCTTTCTCGTCCAGGTACTGATGGGCTGGAGTCTGGACATGATCGATCAAAAGGGGGACTAAGGGGCCGACCTGGTGGCATAGTGGTTAAGTTCACGCACTCCGATTCAGCGGCCCAGGGTTCGCAGGTTCAGATCACGGGCACGGACCAACGCACTGCTTATCAAGTCATGCTGTGGCAGGGTCCCCCATATCAAGTAGAGGAAAATGGGCACGGATGTTAGCCCAGGGCCAATCTTCTTCAGCAAAGAGAGGATTGACAACAGATGTTAGCTCAGGGCTAATCTTGCTCAAAAAAAAGGGGGGAGTTTTATATAGGGGAATTTATGGTTGTAAAATTAATTTAAATACTTTAGGATCCACAAATTCTTATTCAGAGTCCAAACTATTTGGAAAATATATGAATCAACCAATGAAAAATTTTAAGAATATTTTGTTTGACTTTGAACACGTTTGGGGAGCTGCCGTGAAGAACTTTAACAAAGAAAGGGTTGTGACTAACAGACGGAGTCACTGACTAGAGGGGGCTGACCCAGAGTCTCCGTGAACTCGTTGGACTGACTGTTACCTTCCAGTCCTGTGGAATGAAGACGAGAGATCACGTCTAGGACACATAAAGCCAGAGCAGTGGTTTGTTGGTTAGGGTGCAAGCATTCTGCACTGGAGAGTTGCAGGAAATAAATAATTTGTCTTCTGTCATTAAAAAAAAGAATCAGAAGAAAACTACATGTTTTCTAAAAGTTAAGAAAAGACCAACAATCAAATAGAAATATGGGCAAAAGAGTATGATTAGATAGTCCACAGAAAAGAAATTAAAATGGCCCTTTAAATGGAAAGATATGCAACTGAACTCAAAATAAGAGAAATGCAAATTGAAACTGCAGTCAGGTACCATTGCACATCTATAGATTGGCAAAATTCCAATGCACTCTATTGGGGAAACAGGCACTATCATTCAATTTTTAAAGAAATGCAACAGATACAACCCCTATGGAAGGGAATTTGGCAGAATCTAGCAAAATTATATGTGTGTTTACCTTCTAATTTGGCAATCCTACTAGCAATCTATCTCAAAGTTACAAGTAGGCAAAAATACTAAGTGACATATACACAAGGCTATTAAAAGTATTATTTAAAATAATTAGTATTATTTAAAAGAGTGAAAAATAGAAAACATCAAGAATATCTTTATACGGGGAGACTGGATGAGAAAACCATGGGAGAGCCACCTAATGGAGTACCACACTATTTAAAAAAAAAAGGAGGAATATATACTACTAGGGAATAACATCCAGGATTTATTAAGTGAAAAAGTAAGGTGAAAAACAGTGTGTTTTGTATACTCTCTGTGTAGAAGGAAGGGAAATATAAATATACATAGGATAGGTATTAGGTTATATTTTCAAAAATAAATAATAGAAACATAAATCAAAACTCGATAAAGAATGCTTACCTTTAGAGAGAGGGAAGGGACAGGGATGAAACCTAGACCTTGCACATGCACCTTGCTTTTCACTGTCTGACTTTGGAGGCATATAAAGTAAACTTTCTCATGCCCCCCCAAAATAAAAACAAAACGAACCCACAAACAAATGAACCTAACGGTCTACCTAGTGGCAAAAATGCACAAAGAATAATTTAAAGTTGCTCTAAATATAGTATTTTTGTGTGTGAGATCAGCCCTGTGCTAACATCTGCCAATCCTCCTCCTTTTTTTTTTTCTTTTGCTGAGGAAGACTGGCCCTGGACTAACATCCGTGCCCATCTTCCTCCACTTTACATGGGATGCCACCACAGCATGGCTTGCCAAGAGGTGTGTCAGTGCGCGCCCGGGATCCGAACCTGTGAGCCCTGGGCCACCGCAGCGGAGCACGCGCGCTTAACTGCTTGTGCCACCAGACTGGCCCTACATATAGTATTTTTTGACTAGACATACTTAATAGGATATTCTAAGGATATAAAAACCACAAAGAAATCAAACTGTTTTCAGCAGCATTACTTTAATAATAATATTGGTATTGTTATTTATTTCCTGGCTCTCTCTTGTGAAAAAGCCTAGAACTAATAACAACTCATTAGCATTAACCCTAGCACCTAGATTATGGTCTTTAAATAACATTTCCTACCTTCAAGAGGTGGCTAACTCAGGTCTGGGGCATGAAATGTACATGATGAACCTGGTACATTTTGTAATGTATGAAAGAAGGGAAGCTATTAAAGGCTACTAAGTTTATGTCAAGAGGACACAGGAATCTACCAGCCAAAGATGGAACTAGAATGTCAAAAAAACTCTCATTTGTCATCTTTGGAGGTTGGTAAGGTACTAACTCATTACCCTGAAAACTGATTCAAGGGAAAACCCCACAAACATTTATCCTGCTTTTCCCATACAAACTGGTAATTAAATCATCTATGAGACAGAGGTGGTGGTCGCACAAAAGAATGAATACACATAGAAACCAAACCACTTAAGTGTACATTCTAAAATGGTGCATTTTATATTAAGTATAAAGTATATTTCAATTAAAAAACATGTCAATGATAGGAAATTCTTCTTCACCTGAATCCACTGATAACTCTTAACATCACTAAAAGTGGACAACCAGACACTGAGTATGTCCTAATGAAATGAAACAAAGTACACCTATGACAAATTCTTGCCACCCCCCCAACCCCGGAATCAAAATCTAATCGAACCCCCTAGATTTATCAATTTTGAAATACAAGGAATAGAGGAACAAGATAAAATGACACTTTTGAAACAAATGTGGAAAATTAAACATGGTCTGGAATTATATACTCAAGAGTTACTGTTAATTTTATTAGATGTGGATATCAAATAAGACTGCACAGTAAAAGGGAAGAGACGTTGGTATACAATAAAACTCTTAAGAGATTAAATGGCATGTAACATATAAATGAAAAGCTACTTACTTGATTCCTAAAAATCATAATGTATTTGATACCATCAGCTTTAAGAACAGGAAATTCATTCACTATTAAAAAAATAAAAAGTCATAGTTATTTAAGTGCTAAGGACTGTTACTCCCGAACTGGTGATAACATTATCAGATTTTTAAAACAAGGTTTTGGTAACCAAAATGTCAAGTAATTGAGGCTTAGTTAATTATATAATGATCTACCATGTAGCTAGTAATTCTAGTAAGATTATAATTTATTTTTTCCCCTTACCTTTAAGTTTCATTACAAATAAACAAGTATTACTTATATAACTGAATAAAAATGATTTTGACCATGAACTAATGACCATATCACCTTCTTCCCAGAATTGAAGCTATTCTGAATCAACAGCGGATCTCTGGCTAGGATTTGCTTTCAACTGCTCTAGCGATGGGAAAATAAATTAGTGAAAGGAATAGAATATTGGCCAATTGTTACAAATTCTTGAAGCTGGATGATGGTAACATGAAGTTCATTATAATATTCTCCCTTTTAGTGTACTTAAATTTTCCATACAAAAAGTTTTAAAAAAGGGGATGGATATATACACATGTTCATAAACATAGGAAATTGTCCTTAATATTTATCAGTTTTGAGTACTTTAAACTTACTTCAATTTTTAAGATTTCATTTTTCAAATGAGAAGGAAAAGAAAACCAAAGTGTAATTCCCAGACTGTATACCAGGATAACAAAGCTGAGTTACAATTCAGTCTTACTTGTTCCTGTTTTCCTTATACACAAGAAACGTTTTCTTTATAGAAAATTAATTTCATCTAGGCAAGATTTGGAGCAACCCCTCGAGATTTTATTCAATAAAAGAAATAACTCCAGCAAGGAGAGGAGCCAGTTTCTTGAGGATCATGGTGAGTCAGAGCCCTATTATGACTTTTGCTATAACGTTACTTATTTTGTAGTATAAAATAACAATGCAAATAAAAATTGCAGGTATAGTAAGTTGTATAAAAAGAATTTCACAAAACTCACCATTAGCTGATTTTAAATCAGGGAGAATGTGATTTACAAAGAACTCAGTCAGGTTTACAAGTTCATTTGCTTGTGTAATTCCATGCTGGAAAAAACAAATTTGTAACAGGGTAAAATAACATGAAATTCCTGTATATATCTACCACATTGGAAACTTAAGCAACTTTAGAAAACCAGGTTAAAAATGGAGACAAGGGGCCAGCCTGGTGGCATAGTGGTTAAGCTCACGCGCTCCACTCCAGCGGCCCAGGATTTGCAGGTTCGGATGCCAGGCGTGGACCTACACACTGCTTATCAAGCCGTGCTGTGGCAGGTGTCCCACATATAAAGCAGAGGAAGGTGGGCACAGGTGTTAGCCCAGGACCAATCTTCCTCAGCAAAAAGAGGAAGACTGGCAATGGATGTTAGCTCAGGGCTAATCTTCCTCACCAAAAAAAAGAGATGAATGCTTCAAAACACAAACTGCTTAAATATAAAACAAGACTATTTTAATAGATCATAAAGAAATTTCCCTAAATTAAAGAACAGCTAAATTTAAATTTAGCACATTTTCTACACTGAGTCTCAGCTAAGGTAACAAGTGTGGCATCTGTCAATTTTTGGGCCATAAGGAACTTAAGCCCTTAATACATCAACATAAAGTCATCTTTGGAGATTATATGAATTCTAATCAGAATAGGTTATCTAGCAGAGTAGACTGTATCATCAAAAATATATTACTTCTTTTTGACTTCTGTGGATACTGACAAATCTGTTTTAGAAACAAAACTATACTGAAAAGAGTCACCTTCTGTGTTTGAGCTTTCGATGCCAAAGAAGTCACTAGGTAAATGGCTGCATCTTTGTGTTTCCAGTTGACGGATGGATTTTTTGCATATTCTTGCAGCATGGAATTAACATAACCAGAGAAGATTCCTGTCACGGGTCCCTCAAAAAATTTGCATAATCCTCGTACTAGATCACAAGCAGCCCTGCGTCTAGTATCAATATCTAGAAAATCAAAGGGAAATACATCATGGGAGAAAGAAACAACCACCAACCAACTGATCAAGTTTATAAGTCAACAAACTGCCATCTGATAGCTGTCAGCACTTAAAAAATAAAAAGAACTTTGTTTTCAAAAGAAATACAAAATGAGAATGAAACTAAAAAGGACATAGTAGAATCAAAACACTAGTAAGTATATAAAAAAAGAGAAGACAAATGATTCAACTTTTGATACTTTGATATAGCTCGTAAGAGCTACTTTAGAAGGTGTACAACTTCAAGAAGGAAAACAGTTCTTCAATGAAAGCCAGTTGAAATGACACACTTATTCCAACTCCCACTCCTCCCATATTTACTAGAAAGAGAGCAACCTTAAAACTGGCTTGCTAAGAGACTAACGGTAAAAACCCAAAATACATACCAGATCCTTCCAAATCTCTTCTTATGTACTCCTCAGAATTATCTTCAAAGGCTTCTTCATCAGCAGCTACAAAGAGAATTGAGATTTCAGATAACTCCTCAAAAGATACAAGTCATTATACTTTTACAGCTGAGTATGCAGAAGAGTATGCAGAACTGCCATGTTTTACAGCAAAGTGTTCTTTCTCAAAAAATGACTACCTCATATACTCTGAATCATTACTTAGAGCAGCAAATACTACCCTGAAAGGTTAGGTAATAGGTAATGCACACATCTGTGATATAGGTTCCCTTGTTCTAATATGACAGGGTCCCCAGAATTGGACTTCACTATCAACTTTGAAAAGTGAGTGTTGGGGACCAATCTAGTGATGCCAGCTTTTTATTTTGCCAAATAAGGACATTAAAAAAAACAACCTAACACCTATAATCATCATTATTTCATAAAAGTCATTTCAATACCAAAAAAGAGTAGGACGGACAATATCAGAATAAAGATCGGTCCTTCAAATATAGTTTTATGAAAACACAAAAGGAAATAAAACTTCGCATTGTATTGTCCTTTATTTCCTAATTTTGTTCCAGACTGATAATTTGAGAACCACTGATCTACTGACTGCTCTGACACAGAACACAATTCCTTCCACATTTACTACTTGCTCTTCCCAACTGTAAGAAGGAAAGACATTTTGTATATAAACACAGACCCTTAGGACTATCTTAACCTTAAGCACAAACTAAGTGGGCTTCTTTCAACGTATTTAGAAGTTTTCAATCACTCCTAGTTTCAAGTCAACTGTTTAAAAACAGCTATTTGCCTTGGTGAAATATTAAATCAAACAAAACCAAATTCTTTCCCTAAGTTGAGATCCTGGATAGTTTACTTTCTTCTCAATATAACAGAATTTTTTAGTCTTATTCAATATTTCCATGAAAAAGTCTCCACAGTACACAACAAAGCTCATCACAGTAGCACTCATTTCATACATGCCTTTTATACCACATCTTTGTCTTAGTTTAGAAAATAGGCAATAAATGGGCTACAAGAAGTTTTATTTAGCAATAAAAAAAAATCAGATTGAACATGTTATGAGAAAGCTTTACATTTTGCCATAATTACCTCTAAATTCCATGTTAGGCACAATAACCTTTTCACAGATACTTGTCAGCGTGTTCTGGTCTTCAAACAGATTTTTATAGTGAGGTCTCTCACAAACTGAAGCCAGAAACTGAATTGCATTACTTACTAACTGGAATAAAACACAAAAATAAGCATATTTTTAAAAGCAAAACTCAATCGCTTATTTCTTGGAGGAGGTAGGGAGGGAATGTCTTAATTATTTGTCTCTACCATCATCTTACCAAGTCATATTTAACCTCTTGACCTGTTGTAACTAGTAAATTCCAGATGGCTGTGACAAAACGAGGCAGGTACCGCTGAAATTCTTCATCATACTTTTGTGCATAGAGGGCAGCATTATCACAAATCTGGGATTTCAAGAGCTCCAACAAGCCTGCTTCCTCTTCATCCTCACATAAGACAAAACAGAAAACTCAAATATATAACTTCAATGCCACCATAAATAGAGAGCAGCTGTAATTTACCTGAACTCTTTAAAAAATTTAAATCCAATCAAGTGAGATTTATACCCGGGACACAGGAATGGTTCAACATCCACAAATCAATCAACGTGATATACCATATTAACAAAATGAGGAATAAAAACCATATGATCATCTCAATAGATGCAGAGAAAGCTTATGACAAGATCCAACATCCATTTATGATAAAAACTCTCAACAAAATGGGTATAGAAGGAAAGTACCTT